TCGCGAGGCCAAACAGCAGGAATCTCCGCTCCTTTCTTGCCCAATTGCCAGTATACCTGATGAAATATATTTACAACTCAAAATTTCTTGTATACTTTTAATGCCTTTTCATTCTGTTAAGAGTTAATTACAGCAAATCTATCAAACAACAAACTTTTCTTTGCTAACACTATTACCTCAAAGATCTTGCTCATGTCTTCAGCCAAGCACGAGCAATTTGTAATCAAGATACCAACTTCCTTGACCTGTAAATCCAAAAGACATTATAAAAAAACAACAACACAAAAACAAAATGACCACATTTTATAAAATCCAATATAACCACAAGAAAAATATTAATAGATAAAAAAACAAAACTATTAACACATTCAAGGCAAGGCTCTTCTGCCTACCTGTGTCAGGGATCGCCAATCCATATTTGCACTTCCGAGATAAATGTGTTTGCCATCAACGATCCACATCTTTGTATGCAGAACGCCAGCACCCATTAAATGTGAGAAATTCACACTTCGAACCTGGGGATGACTTTCATGTACTGACAGCAGTAATAGAGATCAAAATATTTGAAAATCTATCTACATTCAGTGATAGAGAACAATATACTTAGAAATCTACATATATTCAACAATATAGAGCAATATATTTAGAAATCTATTTCTATTTAAGCACTATCTATATTTGACTATACTAAGAACAAAAACCTCTGTATCAATATTTTTTCAATAGTGTAAATGTTTTTTTTTTTTTAATCTTACTTACGTTTCTTTTATTCAATGTAAAATCCTAATACAAAACCTAATTATAAAAGTAAAAAAATAAGTAAAAAATAAATAAAAAGAGAGCCAGATGACCTTGCATAAAAGAGAAAGACAAACAGCATCAATACAACAAAACTAATAACAGAAAAAAAATTAGAATAACAACAATAATAAAATAATAATACCCTAATCATCAATATTATCGTCATACTATAACATTTGCACAATTAAATAAGCCCAAAACAATACCTCTGCTGCCCCAGCCTCTGCCAGCATTGCACTGTCACGCTGCGGAGACACTCTTGATGGTGCATTCTGAGCTATTCTAATTGCTATATTTGGGCGTTGACCTGAAGGGAGAGAAAAAGAATATGTATCACATCAAATTACAAGATTACCTCAATGCTGCTGGGAATATGTTCTTTTTTGTTTTGTTTTGTGAAAAATGCCAACACATAGATGGTTTTACCATTGCTCAGCCACCATGAAGTCATTTAGTACACCTACTGGCCTCACCTGATTTCTCTTTTCCCTAAGTCTTGAGAAAAATGCTTTCCTTTCTAATGCTACCACCATCAATGTTATAATTATTATTACTGACATTATGATCATCATAAAGGTTATTAACAAAACTAATAGCAATTAAAATAAAAAATGATATTTCAAAAATCAAAGACAAACAGGTGTGATAGGTAGTACAAATATCTGATTCTTTGGTGACAAAGCACTTGCAGGGCCATCTATGTGTAAAGAGAATTAATAAGCTGAATTTACAGTAGGCATGGCATGTATTTACATGTAATACCTGATAGCACTGTGTTAACATTATATAAAATTAATACTGGTTAAAACAAAAATACCTAAATCATTATGTTCTATGTTTATGTATGCACTATAAATATGTATATATGCATATACATAAGTGTATCCCTTTTTATCCCTTTGATACATTTAATAACCTTAAAAAAAATGCACATATTCTGCATGGAAATAAATCAGTGCCAATTCTCAACACCTTAGCAAGTAACCAGAAGAATGTCAAATATTTCAGAACAGTCCATCTTAAAATGCTTATACTAACCAGTGACATTAAGACGATGCAAGACATCCTCTCCTTCCCAAGCAGATGGATGGGGCTTCTTTCCAACATCCACAGACAAGAGCGTCCAATAGAAGGCCGCAATATCGATGGAGGTTTCTGCACTGTTGATGAGAGTAACCCATGCATTGTAGATACTTGGATAACGCACACTCCCAGGTGTGTATGTCAGGTTCTCCGGGATGCTCTCAACCAACTGGAAACTGGAGGAAAAAAAACATACATTATAGAAACCTGAATTTTAAAAAAAGCTAGCTTCTAATAATGTTTAAATCCTTATCAAATAATTCTACCTTGGCTGACAGAAAGTCGTTACGATTTTGAAACAATCTAAACTTATCAACTTAAATTTACATCTTACTGCTTCCTAGATAAACCCATTAACAAGTTATCTATAAAATATATATTGCATTAACCACAAGTCTCTGCCAAACCACTCTTACCTACATTAACCACTTAACATTGGGGATGGCATGTGCATACATGCCATGCCCCCTTTGTGTTTAATTTAGAAATTGTTTTTACATATAGATGGCTCCACAAGTACTAAGTCACCAATGAGCCAGTTAGATGAAGTACTTGCCTCACCTGTTTACCCTTTTCCTTGATTTTCGATAATATTTTCTAGTATTTAATACTGCTGTTAGTAATGAAAAAAAAAGCATTTTCTTGCTGTTTCAAGGACTCCTTTGTGCTATGTATTGGCAGATCCATCTACGTACAAAAATATTTGACAAAACAATACTAAAGTGAACAAAACATTTTCCTGTCAGCATTGGGTTAACATTATCATTAATCAGCAAAGTAAATACATGATGTATCTCATATATATACCTTATCCATGACTCATTTCTAAATTATTAAGCTATTACAAAAATACAGAACACTTCAAATCAATATACATACACATATATTCATAAGACAAAACAGATAGTACAAATTACAATTCACAGACATGGAAACATAATTTCAACCAACCTGCACTTATTACAATTCAACTGCTTGGCCTCGTTGTTTGTCACATTGTCATCCAGTATGGCTACCACAACAATCAGCATTGACAATGTGACGATGATTGTTATTGGCAGGCACATGGGTCTGAGCCAATCGCACAACCATGATTTACTGTTATTCCGTCCACCCTGCATTTTCTTGACGTGTCCTTGAAGCATAGAGTTATACCTGCAAGTAGTATTCATGGAATAAGCAACTGAACTTGTATAACAGACAGACACTATACAAATTGATCTTTAAATAGTTCTATGTAAAAATTGAACAGGTTTAATCCTCTTATAAAGTAAGAAATTAACTATCATAAATTAACAGGATCATCTTTGCATAGCTACTAAAAAGGTTTCTCTTTCTGTTACATTCACCTTAAAGAAACAATCAATCAGAAAAGAAATTGAGAAAAAAAATGCATATATATAAATTCACCTCAGATCCCAAAGTTCAAGCTCATACTCTCCAAAGTCGAGCTTGCCACTCCCTTCCACCACTGTCTGAAATAATGTAGATTCATCACATTAAAAATCATATCCGAACACAGCCTTCCATGCAAAAGTTGGTTCTTATATGCTGTAAAGAGATGATGGTGGAGAATAGATAAACATATACATATACTGATGATTAAAGCTGATTCTTATTTTCAATGGCTATTATGTAAAATGAATGCATCATCTGGTATGAACAATCAAAATACAACAAAAAACAATAAAAACAAGAACCAGTCATACATGGGTATCCAAAGATCAAACGGAAGGCAAGCTTTACCTATATAACCAATAATAATTCAACTGTAAAGGTACATCAAACACATGATGTATACCATTTACATTTCCAGGTAAAAAAAAAAAGCTTCTAACACCAATCAGCTGTGATAATGCTGCATAAAAGAATAGGCTTAAATACTATATATAGGGGATGGAATCTGCTTCAGCTCTTTTATGGGGAGACAACAGGGGATGGTATATACCAGGACAAATGTGCAAAAGACTTTTGCAGTAGCTTTCAAAACAGATCTTCCTCATAATCATACAGCTCTATATAAAAATAAGCAACAACCAATCTTTTGACATGCAGAAGATAAACAAACCTATGCGATATATATTCTGCCAAGACTGAGCTTGGATTGGTTCCTTATTTGATGATAAATTATCTGGCTGGTCTTCAAGTTCTATCTTGCCAGAAAATACATGGTGGGGGGTTTTTTGGTCTTTGTCCGAGCACCAACAGGTGACAAGGCTGTGATGAATGGTAGAAAGCTAGTGACACACATGCAGAGGTCTTCTAAACATGTTCAAACACTTGCAATAATTTCAGACTGAATTCAAATATTATAATAAAAACAAAGTCCACACCCCCTCCTGCTATCATGGCCAATATAAACACCTGGTCGATGTGAACTATGATTATCATACGTAGACATCATCATACACAGTTTGTTTGTAACAATGTCGTTAACATTAGGGCCTTTTATTTATAAAATAAGCTTTCAGTTTTTAATAAATATGCAGTCCCTGTTAAAAAGTAAAAGGAACCAATAGATCTATGAATTCATAATCATTTTTAAAGTTATATTTCAAGTAGACCTAGATTAGCTTTGATACGGTTAAACCTCTCATCTCCTAACAAATCAGGAAAAAAGAAGGGTTGTACCTAATAAGGAAGTAAGTGTCATGTCACAGATACGGAAGTAAGTGTCATGTCACAGATACCTCATTTCACATCGTTATAAGAAAAAGTCCAACAAATCGAGGAATTCCGGTGCTCCATCTGTGTACCCAAGCCTGCATTCCACACCTGGACATCTGCCTGACAACAGCCTCATATATAAACATCTCTTACAAATCTCATTTCTCTTCTTTAACATCATACATTCCCACCCTCAACATTAAAACAATCACATATCTACTCGTACCTTATCTTTTTCATCCCCATTAGTGGCTTTGGGAACCTGTTTATCGGCTGTGGGTGTGTACTTCATGCTCTCTCCTGCGTTGAAATGCCGGCGGTTTTTCTGTCACGCTGCCTTTGTTTACTAACAAGGTGATGCCGCGTGTGTGGTTTTCTTTTCTATTTTTTTTTTATTTTGATACTATTAGTGTCTTAGCCGGTCTTTTTATTTTTGAGGATATTTTTTA